ATTAACAGCCGTGTTATCATTTTTCTACAAACAAACCTGAATCTAAAGAAACAGCCAACCACGCACGATACAAGGAGCCAAAATAGTGGTGGGAAGGAAGCACTGTTATCACTAGCTAACCAGAACTCAAAACAAGGAACAAAGCAATAGCCCAGTCCAGCTCCCACAGAAGTCAAGGGAAAGACCCCTTTCATTCAATAGGAGCTAGATCAGGCTGCCTAGCAAATCACTAAGGGCCCAATCATGTGGGGATTGACTCTGATGGGAGTTCAGGGGAGACAGAGACTATCAGGTCAGTCCCTAAATTTTGCTTATTGTGGGTGTGATTTCATCAGCTTTAAAGAGTCTGATTGACCTCCCCCCCCCCCCCGCCCCCGGACTTGGCAAACAGCTAATAACATAATAAAAGTTGATATGGTTAATAGCTCACTTTCAGTGTATTTGTTTTTCCTGGATGGAATGAGTCTTGATGGAACCCCATCACCATACTGCTGGCAAAAATATCGTCACAGATGCGATGCACAGCATCTATAAGAAAGCCACTCATGCAGTACAGGTAGTTTGAGCTGTTAGAGAAAGTGTCATTTTCACTGCTGTGCTAAGAAATCAGCTGTTCCCTTCCTCCACATACATGCTTTAAATACCTCTTTATTGGGGGTTTTAATGAGTTACTTTCATAAACAAAGTCATGATGGTTAACATTTCTACCACTTTACAGCTGCCAAGCACTCAATAAACATTAGCTAGTTAATAAGCAATCTGCCCATGAGGTTGGAAAGTAAATACAAGTGGCCAGATCAGAGACCTGAGGCAGCAAGATTAAACCCCAGAATTTTAAAGGTATTTAGGTGCCAAATGAGATTTTCAAAAGCACCCTGGTACCTACATAAGAAGTTGTGGATTGGCTGATACCTGTAGTCTGTGCTCTGACCTTTTGAAACAATCTAATAGCCAGGATTCTAGTGCACTGGTGACAATAATGGGCATTGTCTGCAGTCTGCTCCTTCTCTTTCCTCAGTCATGATCAGCTGCTGCATCATTCACAGGCTTCACATGACTTCCTGCTTTCAGGTCACCCCCACCCGTTTCCAGCAGCTCAAACTCCTACCTCATTCACCCAATCTCTCACACTTGCACAGAGTTTTCAGTTATATAATTCTCTCCTTTAAAGGATGCTGTTCTACCAGCTAACCCATTGCTGGCCTCCATGTGGCCCTCCTGATGCAGGGCATAACAGGTTAGGTTTAGTTCTGGTGCACCTACATTTTAGGCCCACACTGGAGAGATACATGTGCCCACACCTACTTTGCAAATGCCTCATGTCTATTTTGATGGCAAAGGCTATGAATAAAACTAAGGGCAAAGAAGGAAATTTATGGTCATAGCCATATTATGCCATGAAATTCTAACAGCACTTAGGTCTAGATCCACAAAAAGTGCTGAGGAGTTGTGACACTGAACATCATAAAGCCTAACTTTTAGGCACCTAGAAAACCATAGGAACAACATTGTAATCCACAAAGCCTGAGTTAGGCACCCAAGCTCCCTATACAATGAATGGGGAGAGACAGGCATCTAGGAATGGGATCCATGAAGCCAGCATGCTAAGCAGGAAGCCGCCTAAATTAGCCAATGGGAAATGCTGATGACAGGGTGCTTATTAAGCCCTGCCATCAGATGAGTGGGGCTTAGTACACACCCTGTCATTGGCATCTCCCACTGGCTAGCTTTGACCACTCCCAGCCTAACATGCTGGCTTTTGTAGATTGCATTCTAAGGCACCTCTCTCCCTGCATTCATCGTAGAGAGAGCTTAGGTACCGAACTCAGGTATTGTGGATCACATTGCAATGGTGTTCCTGTGATTTTCAAGGCCAGAGATCGGCAACCTTTGGCACGCGGCCCATGAGGGAAATCCGCTGGTGGGCTGGGACAGTTTGTTTACCTGCAGCGTCCGCAGGTTCAGCCGATCGCAGCTCCCACTGGCCGCGGTTTGCCACTCCAGGCCAATGGGGGCTGTGGGAAGCAGTGGCCAGCACATTCCTCAGCCCGTGCTGCTTCCCGCAGCCCCCATTGGCCTAGAGCGGCGAACCACGGCCAGCGGGAGCTGCGATCGACCGAACCTGCGGACCCTGCAGGTAAACAAACTGTCCCGGCCCGCCAGCGGATTTCCCTGATGGGCCGCATGCCAAAGGTTGCCGATCCCTGTTCTAGGCACATAAAAGTTAGACTCTATGATGGTGAGCATCACATTGCATAAATTCCTTTTGTGGATCTGGGCCTTATAGTATTCCCAAGGAAAAGCCAGAGCTTATGAATTTAAAGTTAAGAGTAGTCAAAACACTAGAATACACACTATTTGGAATAATCACAGATTGGTAAGGAAATGCACTAAATGATACAATAGTGCACGAAAGATATTTTAATATCTAACTATCATCTGATAAAGACAATAAAACATGATTTCCCCCCAAACGTTCCCTGTAAAATACGTCATTCATATTGATACAATAACCATTATACCTGATTTTTAACTAGCATTAATATAAATGTTTAATAGCATTTAATGTATCTTTTCTAAAATACAATGGTCTTCAGTCCAATCTTTTTGCCTGAACAACATTAAACAAAGAAGCCAGACTACGTTGCACTTAAAGTGCAGGATTGCTAGCAAGTGCCATCCCCAGAGGAGTGGGGAAAGAGAGGGGAAAGGACAGTTATCAGTCACACTTCATGGGTTATTGGATGCTTCCCTCTCTTTTTCAGGTATTGAAAGGGTTGTTTTTGTGACAGGCATTTTTGACATCCTATACTTTACTTAGGTGGCTGACATTCTCACTGTACCTTGAGTCAAATGTCTCAAGCAACATTGTTTCAGTTAGCTTTCCTTGTTCTCACCTCAGTTCATGTCTCCACCTTTGCGAGCGGAAAACCTTATCTAGAAAGGTTGATGCAATTCTCTGCAGCACCATCTTTTTCTAAAGAGACCCTCACAACCTTATGTTCTAATGCTGTGTCCAATTTTGGCTGTCCAGGTTACCATATGCAGGCTTCTTTTTAAATAGGAACAGCTCTGCTACCAGCCAGTCTTGATGGACTGTTATTCAGCCAGCCAAGCCACACAAACTGAGACCTATGTGCAGAGCCACCCCTTCCAAGGTTTGTCTTCAAGTGCTCATTTTGTAGAAGTCAGTCCCACATGCCATTTAGAGTCATTGGGCTACAGAGAGTGAGAATAACTCTAGCCTGGTGTTCAGGAGACTCACGTGAGCAGTGGGAGACTCAGGTGTTACAGATATGGAAATTTCCTGCAATACCCTTGGGAGACCTCATTGGATTAAGTTTAAGTGCCTTTGGAGTCTATTGTATTAAAGAGTGGTTTATGTATCGTTGTTGACTGCAATTGTGTTACCTCTCGAGGGGGAAGCTGTGACATATGTGAGTCCTGGTTCAAAGGACTATATTGAACAATGTGCCAGACCAGCATGGACTCTTGGGACAAAAAGTGTTATATGGTTTTCCTGGGAAATATATGGGGGAGGGGAATACAAATTCCACACTTCTAATTATGCAAAAACCCAACCTTTTGAAGCTACAATCTGAAGACTGGGCCATTGGCTGCTGCTCACCTGTCACATGAAGCCAAGATCAAACACCAAGGTGTATAAAGGAAAGATTGAACTATTCATGGTGTGTCTGAATCTGAGACAGTTATGAACTTGTAACCACAAGGAAAATTCAGTTGCTGGTTATGAAGGATTGACAGCTACCAGGGGTGCGGCTGGAACTGGTATGATCTCTGGTAAGCTTTTTAGCATGTGTGTATGTTCTTTTATGTTTTCTCTGTAATGCTTTTACCCTAAGAATAAATGTGCTTGCTTAGAAAGAGCTGTATGATGACTTATAACTGCTGGCAATACACTATTCATAACCTCTGGGAAAACAAGCAAATAATCTACACTGGTCTTTTAGATGGTATGGCTGTCCAGGTTACCATATGCAGGCTTCTTTTTAAATAAGGAATATGACAGTGTAGGCAGGGAACTGTGCAACCTGGAAACCACATAGTCAGGGGGAGAGAGATTTATGCATTCATGCATAAGAGAGGTGATGGAGGAGGAGCCAGGAGTCTAGAATAGGTGCCAAGGGACCATAGAGGGATAATATGCTACAGTTGCCCTGAACTGTGGCTCCAGGCCCTCTGCCCCAATGACTAAGTATTTATCCATAGAAGAACAAGTTCAATCAGAGAGCTTGGTGGCGCCCCACATCTGAGTGGCCCATAGCTCGTTGGTTAGAGCGGACATCTGAGAAGTAGGGCACCCCTGTTAAATCCTGTCTCCCCTATTGACCAGGAGTGCTTTAATCACTGCACTAAGAGTTACAAAGTTGGGAGCAGCTGCACCTCCTCTGGCCTCCTACGAGATTGGGCCCCTTGAGCAAATTAGAAAGCCCAACACCTATCTTCCCAGTTTATGGATTGCCTAGAGTAAGTGAGCAGCACATATGCCCAGGGGCATAAACCTAAGAACTGAGTAAGTTTAGGCACCTACAGGATTCAGCAGGAATTTTGTGGATTGAAATGTAGCCTAGAACTTCTCATACGTGCCTAAGTCTGGGTTTAGGCCCATAAGTGCCTTTCTTAAACTACCTCAAGGAACAAATAATGCACGGGTGACCATCATTAAAATTACCAGGGTAGTCCTACTCCACCCCTTACAGCACAGGAGAGAAATCCACACCTACTTTATCATCGCTATAGGAAACCTGAGTCAAGGTTTCCCTAAACTGCCTAGTACTTTTGAGTGCCCAATCTGAGATACTATAAGAAGGCCCCACTTACCAGAAAGTGCTGAGCACCCACACTCTGAAAATCAGGCCCACCCAAATTAGTCTCACTTCATGCACATGCAATCATTAGTTTTTTAAATCTTGTCCCCAAGTTTCCTTAAATTAAGAAGTGGTGGGACAGCAACTTCCTTCTCAAGTGTCAGGCCATAGTTTCTCTATCTGCCAACTTCAGAAAACAAGTTTCAGGGGCTTCTCTATGCACTAAGTATTTATTTCAAAGTCGATTTAAAAACCACACACCACAGGAGGGAGTCCTTAGGAGGTGCCTTATTTACAAGCAGTGAAGACATACAGTCTATGTATAAATATATGGATTACAACCAAGAGTCCTAGGTGCATGAAGTGCTAGTGTTGTGGAGAAAGCCAGCCTTAGAAACAGCACCCTTTCAGCAGACTAGCTGTTACTAGAATTCCTGTGACTGGCCATCTTTTAGTCCTTGCTTAGGCACCTTTGTGGTCTTGGGAACAAGAGCAGGAAGGATGTTGGGCATAACTCCTCCTTCAGCAATGGTCACCCCAGCAAACAGCTTGTTCAGCTCTTCGTCATTCCTCACGGCCAGCTGGATGTGTCGTGGCCCAATCCTGCTTTTCTTGTTTTCACGAGCAGCATTTCCTGACAGTTCCAATATCTCAGCAGTCAGATATTCCAGCACGGCCGCCAGGTAAACCGGAGCGCCAGCACCTATTCTCTCAGCATAGTTCCCTCTTTTGAGAAGCCGGTGGACACGACCCACTGGGAATTGCAGACCAGCCTTCACTGACTTGGTTGTCTTCGAGGCAGTTGTCGGTTTCACATTTTTCTTTCCGCGTCCAGACATCCTAACATCAATCTAGTGTAGAGAAGCGGGGGAGGGGAAGTAAGAGTGAACATTAGCCAGAGGCTTGTCTACACTAGAAAATTAGGTTGGGTTAACTGTGTTGCTCAGGGGTGTGAAAAATCCACACCCCTGAAGGGCATAGTTATGCCTACCGAAGTCCCCATATAGACAGCCCTAGGTTTATGGAAGAATTCTTCCATTGACTAAGCTCCTGTCTCTCGGGGATGTGGATTCTCTAAACCGAGAGAAGAACCTCTGGGCAGAGACAAATTATGGTTTTGTGGGGCCCCAGGCCAGAGCAAGTGACGGCCCCTTGCCACCCCTTTCACCTGCACTCCCCCCCCCCCCCAGCACTCCTGCCGGGGAAATGGGGTCAGGTCATGGGGGCTTACCCCACCCCCCCACTCAACACTCCTGCTGGGGAGCAGGAGAAGCCCCCGCACCACGACCCCACTCCTCAGCACTAGCGCCGGCAGGAGCAGGTCAAGCCCCCATGCCCTAACTCCATTCCCTGGCAGGAGTGCTGGGTGGGCGGAGAGGGTCAGGGTGCTCATTTTTCCAGGGGCTCCCAACTGGCCAGGGCCCCTAGGCATGGGCCCCATTGGCCCAGTGGCTGATCCGCCACTGCCCCTGGGCATAGGGAGTGTCTACACTTAAGCATTACAGTGGCACTGCTCTAGCATTTTAAGTGTAGAAAAGCTTCAGGATGTCATTATAGTATCCAAGTGTTTCTTAAGCTATAAAGAAGCAGGAGCCAATAATACACCCTCTCACTTTCCCACCTTTATTTGTTCTCTTTAGGAGGAAGGTCCTGATTTTAAGATGCCAACTTAGTAGTATCAGAGGGGTAGCCGTGTTAGTCTGAATCTGTAAAAAGCAACAGAGGGTCCTGTGGCACCTTTAAGACTAACAGAAGTATTGGGAGCATAAGCTTTCGTGGGTAAGAACCTCACTTCTTCAGATGCAAGTGAGTAGTAGTAGTTTATCAAGTGAAATGCCTCACGTTCTCTCCTGAAGAAGGAGCCTGTTTGAGTCAGACAGCTGGTTAGAAGTCCGGTCAAGGGAAAACCACAGCCCATCAAGAGTCTCCGGTAAATTCAGATGGCAGGTAGAAAAAGCAATGAACGTTTTTTTCCTGCTGCCCAGAGAGAGAAGTGTTGTCCAGGCTCAAGGTCTTCAACCCAAGATTTCTGTTTCAGAAAGAACAGGCGAGGCCCCTTCCTAAGAGGAAAGGTCAAATTGGTCAAGAGGTAGAATAAATACTTTAAGGCTTTATGTATTCAGGATTCTTACAGCTTTGAGAAGCTCTGCATAAAAACCGTGTCAGGAGCCTCTCCTACAACACTGGGGACTCCAGGGAGGAAAAATAAGCAGTTTCATCAAATCAGCCCCAAAACACACAAACTGGTAAGCAACTACAAGAGTAAAAGGAATTCAGAATTTTCTTATGTTGTAGAAGCCCCCTGAAGTGAGTTTTGTAATCTTTGAATAAGGGGACCTCAATACAGTTAGTGGGTTTTTAAAAAACTTCAAAGTTAGTAGTAACTACTACTGTTCAACATGTGCACCTCGTTATTAGGTTGCTAGAGACCTGTAGCTAGGTTTCAGTACAGTTATTTGCAGGATTTGGTAAGGAAGGGAAACTACTATAATTATTAGAGAAATAAGATTTAAAAGTAATGACCATTTTCTATTTAGAGTTGGTGACAGTGAAGTAGGGTACCCAGATGCAAAGCAAGATGAGTTTAGGCAGAGGGTTCAGAAGTTGAACAGCAATGTCTTCAGGAGATCAGACACCCTATCTCAGTATCAGGATTAGGGAGAAAATAGAAGCTAAACTAGTGATTTACATTGACACAGAATAGTAACAGCAACTGAAGTTATTTTGTTTAGAAACCTGCCTTGCACTACACGTCAAATACAGCTACTTAAGGTCTACTTAAACCAAAATTAATAGATCATTAGAGAAGAGACACTTTCCCCCCCCTAAAATAAGGTATACTTTCCCTTGTGAGAAACAAACACACTTTTACCTTAGCCAAATTCTTTACTTATTCTCCTGCCCAGGAACACTACTATCTGAATCTAACAGATTCCTCTTTTTGTAGAAACTACTCTTTAAACCCTTCAGTAATAACCACTCATTAGCAGTGTCTACTCTAGATCATTTGAGCTCCACCTGGATTATTAATGATTCAGTTACACACCCACACACCCCAAAATGATTAACTTGTTTGTAGGGAAAAGAGAGAAACAGCATAAACACCTGTGAGGGGAAGATGTTTCTCTATTAGTTGATGAATTAGTTAGGCCCTGATCCACAAAGACCTGAGTTAGGAGCCTAGGCACTGATTGGGGAGAGATAGGTGCCTCAGAATGCAGTCCACAGAAGCCAGTGCACTAGTAGATGGGGAGCCACCTACACTAAGCAATGGAAGCTATTGATGGGCGTGTCTTAAGCCCTGCCCCTCTCACAGAGATAGGTGCCTAAATCCAGGCTACAAGGAGGCACCTATCTCTGCTAGCAATCCACAACAGGAACCTCTCTTCTGCAGATGGGTGGCTAAGAGAATGAGCTAGGCAAGCCCTTAATTCAACTCAAAACAACCTTATAACTTTTAGCCCATGAGACTTTGACGCGGGAGACTCTGGTTCAATTCCCCCCTCCCCTTGAGAGGGCAGAAGGATTTGAACAGGGAGAGGCAACCTCTTGGGAACGGTGCTCTAGTGGCTGAGCTGTGTGATATTCTGATGGAGGGCTCCCTCAATCTCTGCTGTTGCAGCTGTTCCACTTTATATAAATAATTAAAGAGTATTTGGAGCATCAGCACTGCATTCTGGGGCCCTCTGCCTCCAGAGGTGCCTTAGCCTCCAGGGTATGGTGTCATTATTTTTTCCTCACTCCCTCTCCTCCAATGACTTTTTAAATATTTATACATGGTGGGACAGTTCCAAGAGGAGATATTGAGGGCTTCCCCTCCCCTTCAGAATATCCCATAGCTTGGTGGTTAGAACGCTCTCCTGAGAGGTGGAAGCAGGGCCGGCTCCAGGCACCAGCCTGGCAAGCAGGTGCTTGGGGTGGCCACTCCGGAGGGAGGCGGCACGTCCAGCTATTCGGCGGCAATTCGGCGGACGGTCCCTCACTCCTGCTCGGAGTGAAGGACCTTCCACCCAATTGCTGCCGCAGATCGCGATCGTGGCTTTTTGTTGTTGTTGTTGGCTGTTTGGGGCGGCCAAAACCCTGGAGCCAGCCCTGGGTGGAAGACCCCTATTCAAAAGCTTGCTCCCTATCAGGCAGAGGGGAAAATTAAACCTGGGTTTCCTGTATACCAGGTGAGTGCGTTAACCACTAGGCTAAAAGTTATAAAGTTTGCAAGGGGAGCAGGGCCTCCTCTGGCCATATTTTGAATGGGTCCTGATCCTGTAGGTGGTATCTGAGCACAACTACTGGATCAGGCAGCCCTCCTATCTCCACCCAGTTTGTGGATGGCGTAGGCAGCAGGGCACATGCCCAGAGGCAGAAATGTAGGTGCCTAGGGAACTTTCCCAGTGAAAATATAGGCACCAAGTAAATATTAGGCATGTACAGGGATCAGCGGTAGCTGGAGGGGAGTTTTGTGGCTTGCAGTTGGAACCTAAAACTTGGATTTAGGTGCCTCAATCTGTCATTTAGGCAACTGTACCTTTTGTAGATCTGGGTCTTAACTGCTTTGTGACCCATTTTCCCCATTTGTAAAATGAGTATAATATATTACTCTACCTTGTGGGGTTATTCTGAGCTCTGATTGGCTGATATTTTACAAAGGGCTTTGGGCTCTTTAGGTGGAAAGTGCTATATGAATACTAAGTACTAGAAATGATTTTAAAAGTATCTAGAACATACCTAATGGCTTCCAAATTAAGAACCTTTATTTAATTCCTCAACAAACTCAGGGATAGTTTAGTGTTTCCGCAAGAGCTGACTTTTAAAATGTTTGTGAATATCTATTAACATAAAAATGTTAATTTGCATAGTTAATTTGCACAGACATGTCTAGATGCCTGTAGGTAGCTACTCTCACTCACTCCTAGCCAGGCACAGATTGGAACGAGTGACTTACACCATATTCCTTTAAGATACCCAAGCCTAGGCAGATCCCGTCCCAACAACATAGTGCAGTTTAAAGACTTAAGGCTTTAGAAATCTCTGCCCTGTTACATATCCCCATGTCTGTCTGTCTGTCTGTCAGTCATGGAGGCCATGATTTTCATATTAATATATATGTAGTCATGACTTATGACATATTGGGTCTTTTGTTGTATGCAGTGTAGTTGTAGCCATGTCGGTCCCAGGATATTAGAGAGACAAGGTGGGTGAGGTCTTGTCTCTCTAATACTGGGTCTTCTTCCAGTGTGGGAAGAGAACTTCTTTAATTGAGAGCTGACCAGCTGAACACTGGGCTCCAGGGAAAGCTCACAGAAACAGTCATAATGAGGGCGTCCTGCACTGCTGTCACTGTAGATGAACTGGCAAAAATTGGGTTAGCTGCAATAAATGGTTTTATATGAATTCAAACAGTTCATTGCAAAATAAGTATTTTGATCAAAATAAAGGGACCTCTCTTTCTATAACCAAACCAGAAGGGAAAATACATGTTACTCTATCATTTTACTGAGTGAGGAAGTGCCTTGATCAGTGCATTCCTCAGAGTGACACTGATTCTCCACAAACTCAGAGTCACTGGAATTTACCAGTGCTAGAAGTCATCTTCCTCCTTTTAGGCCCCTTCAGCAGGCAGCCAATGCTAGTTGAACACATGAACAGAACACTAACAAAATGCTGTGCACTCTTCTCACTGTAATCACTAAAGGCCAAATTCAGCAGGGTTTCACTAGGTAAGGACTGCAGGATTTGGCATTAACTGATTTACTACTGGTAGGAGACTATGAATCGAACTGATGGTCTATTCGGGGATCATGACTTAGGTGGGATGTACTTATTAGTACAACATGATTAGTGTGTTTGGGATTGTACAGCTAGAGGAACATAAAACTTCTGGCTCAAGAAGTGAAATTAGACAAACATGATCTGAACACATTACAAGTGGATGAGCAAGTGGTGTTATAAAACACAAAGATTAATGTTTTTGTAGTATCCCCATCCACTCCTTCCAGAAATACCCACCCAAGACTACCTCACAGAAAACAATTTGTTTTCTTTAGTATTTTTATATAACATACTTTACAAGGCAAGCTGGGTCTTGGGCCTATTCTGATCTCACTTCCTCTGGATTTACACCAGTGTAATGAGGTCACTGTCTGCTACTGTTATTTTAAGTCCTTATACTGATGATTAGATTTGGGGATATTTTACCTGGACCCATTCTCTCTCCATTACACAAGTCCTTTAGAAATTTTATTTTGTTTTCTCCCCTCCATACGTATTGCAACTGAGGTTTAGCACTAATTTCTCTTACTTGTCTCTGCTCCTTCCCTAAAATTTCCTCTTCATTTACAGGGATAAAACCGACACCTGTGAGGTTTTGCTCCAGTCACATGCTTTCATTTCACAAGGCTAAATCAGTCTCTGCCCCAGAGTATTCAGATGTCTGAAGTTCTGAATTTCAGAAGTGTTTTTGCCTCCCTTTGCTACCAGCACACTGTGACGTTCTGTACCTCGTGGGAACACTACACCCCCTATGTTCATGTTTATAATATGATTGTGTGGTCTCTAATGCAAAGTTTGTCATACTGGGTCTCTTCAGAAGGCTCACGATGTACTGAGAATTGTTATAGGTTGTAATTTCATGTATAGAGTTATGAGGCTGAAACTGTGTCCTCATGCCTTAAAGCAAGCCCAAGCAAAAACTCCCCAAGAGCAGAGGAGCAATTCACACCTCATCAGGGCATGGGTGGGACAAACCCAGCCCAGCCTCACAGGAATAAAGGACACTGGCCTAGGCAACACAAATAATCTATTGGACTCTCCAGTGAGTCACCTCTCTTCCTTTGGTCAGTCTGGGACTGCGATGAGGTAATGCTCATCAGATGCTGGAAGGGGGGGGGGGGGGAGTTAAAGCCACAAGGGAAGAAAGAACATGATCAAAGAGAAATATTTCCCATGCTCTTCCACCTCCATCTACAGACACCACCACCACGCAACTGAAGCACTGATCAAAAGGGAGACCCCGACTAAAGGGCAACCAGCCAGCCTGAGGTGAGAAGCATTTAAGTTTATAAGGGCACTGAGTGTTAAGATCAGCTTAGAATGCATTGTGCTTTTATTTCATTTGACCAAATCTGACTTATGCTTTGATTTATAATCTATATAGTTAATAAATTTGTTTATTCTACCTGAAGCACTGCTTTTGGTTTGAAGCAGCTCAGAAACTCCCCTTAGGATAACAAGCCTGGTACATATTAATTTCTTTGTTAAAACTGATGAACTCCAAAAGCTTGCAGTGGACACTGCAAGATGGAGGTGCTGAGGGTTGTGTCTGGGACCAGAGGTTTTGGCTAGCGTCAGTCAGTTTCACAATCCCAGGAGCAACTTACATGCCAGAGGCTGTATGTTAACAGCCCAGGAGTAGGGTTCTTACAGCAGAGCAAGGCTGGCTCCCAGATTCAAGGAGTGGAGTGACCTAGCAGATCACCAGTCCAGATAACACCAGGGGAACATGTGTGTCTGTCTCTGACAGACACACACCCCATCTTGAAAAATTCACTGAAGCCCTCTTACACCTTCACCCACCTGTCACACCCCACACAACCCAGAGAGGGGTTGCTGCTACACTCTCCCAGTCCACTGTACACTCTATGAAGGGAGGTGGTTAGCCAGAGGCACAGCTTCCTTTTCCCTCATACCTCCATCTCTGTGGAGCCAGCCTAATTTCCTTTTTCTAATAAAAATCCTAAAAGTTAAGTGGATAATCTAACTGATGCCATCCTCTGCAGGAGTCAGAGCAAACCTATCAACTAGAACCTAAATTTAGTGAGTCACTTTCTCCTATGGCTGCCTGAAGATGTTAGCAATGGAGAGAGTTATTTCCCCCCCCCCACCCACACACACACTTTCAAAACAAAAAGGTGTTAGTTTCTTCTCTCTCCTGTCCCAGCCCCCCAAAGAGAGTGGGTAGGGAAGTTTCATTTTAATTCAAAAATTGTCTGAGTTTAATACAAGAAGATTCACATTTTCTTTATTTTTCAAAAAGCTTTTTCCTCATCAGAAAGGAGAGAGAAAGTGTTTGGCCAGCCTTAGCCTGTCTGCCAGCCAGCCAGATACCCTTGTTATTCTACAGCCAGAGGTCAACCTGCACAGAATGTGGAGAGATAATGCAACCATAGTTTCCCAAAAGGGAAAACAGGACACCACACAGGGCCAGCCTGAGGCCTCTCCCCCCCTCCCCATGAGCCACCCCCCAGCCCATGCATGGGGCTGGCCTAAGGCCCCCTTCCACCTGCCCACTAGGGGACAGCCCAAGCCCCCCCCCCCCAATCCCTGCATGTGGGGCTGTCCCCAAGACTCCCTGCCACCAGCCCGTATAGTTCTGGCCCGGCCAGAGCTGCTCTCCCGAGTCCTCCCTCCCATGTAGGGCTGGCGTTGCCTCACCCATCATTCCCCCAACACCCCACTTTTGAAAGAAAAAAAAAAGTGTATTTGATTATCAGTTGGCAAGAGCAGACAGGCAAATGCCCAGTTTTGCCAAAAGAGACAGGGCTTAAGGATCTGTCCTGGCCAAAACAGGATATACGGTCACTCTAGGGAAGAGCATGGAGACCTCACGCTATTACCCAGCATGAATTACATGAAACAAGCATAAATTTCTCTTTTCTCACTCACCCCACTTCTGTGAAGCAACAAAAGAGCCATATGGGGTCAGACCAAAGGTCCCTTGAGCTCAGCATCTTGTCTTCTGATGGTGGCCAGTGCCAGGTGCTTCAGAGGAAGAGAGCAATTTCAAGTGATCCATCCCTTGTTGTCCAGCCTCAGCTCCTTCCAGCTGGAGGTTTAGGGACATCCAGAGCACAGGCTGCATGCCTGACTATCTTAGCTAATTAGAGAGACAAGTTGACTGAGGTGATCTCTTTTATTGGACCAACCTCTGTTGGTGAATGAGACAAGTTTTCAAGACAGAGCTCTTCTTCCAGTTTGGCAAAGGTACTCAGAATATCACAGCTAAATGAAAGGTGGAACAGATGCACATGTGCGTTAAATTAAGGGACAATTAAAGGTAGAGTAGCCTGTTACCACCTGTGCCGTCATAGGATAAAAGCACACCAAGTCCTAGTCCACTACACAACATATAGTTAGGCAGCTTACATCAAACTTAAAACTCTGGTTTGAATGGGACAGTCCAAATCCTGGATAAAGGCTGTACTAGCGAAGTGGGAAAATCCAGCTATTCAACTATAGCAGCATCACAACTGACCTCTGTGGCCCAGAGGAAAGACTCAGCTGCTTGATGAATACCTCAAATGCAAGGAAAGGCCAAACCACGTCCAGGAGCTTGCCATCCTGACTAACTGGTGGTGGTTGAAGGAAGAAAATGATCTGCCCCAAAATAGTTAACACATACCTATGGCAGGAGCCGACCCTTATTTGAGTACAGAGCGCTGCAATGGACGTGAACTGCCCAAAGGCAGTAAGAAAGGAGTGAGACTATTACAGAGCCTTATATTTAATTCACCATCATGCCTTTCTAGACAGTGTCTCTGAAGAGAGAGAGAGAACACTACCCATTGCTGATCCATTCAAAAAAGTCTTTTAGCTGATCAGGGAGTAATAAGTCCATTCTACAATGTGCATGACCATTGAAGGTACTGGACTCAACTCCTCCATTACAAGTTCATATATGAAGATGGATTTGTTATTATTTTAGCATGTAAAAGCAGAGGTCTTCTATTTCCCTTCATCCCTCCCCACTGCAGAGTCCTCTCACCTTCATTACATCCATAGGTGCAAAGAATTTGTGCTCTCCCCCCACTCTTTTTGGAGATTTAATTAGACTTTGGAGTCTAATACAGGGTCTGAGGCCAGGCTAGCTCTCCTCTGAGCATGCTTGCTTTGAAAGTGCTAGAGAAGCACATTTGTTGTTTAAGAGCTGCAAGTTAGACTTTTCCTGGAGAAAGTGTTAATTCTCCCTTCTCCTTGAAGGGAGACAGTAGATCAAGTCAACTGCTGAATTCTAGAAAGTTTATTACAAACATCTAAAAAGACACACAAACATTAAAACAATCACCCTGAGTAATATTTAACAGTGTTAGCACATACAGAGCATTGATAAACACGAGTCAAAGGAAAGGCAGGAGTAAGTCAGTGGTTACTGGATTCTTCCTGGGAAGCAGTAGCATCCCCTCTTGGTAAAGGATCTTTAAGAGTTTTCTTGGGAAGAAGCTGGGAAAGGATGTTGGGCATAACTCCTCCTTCAGCAATAGTCACATCGGCAAACAGCTTGTTCAGCTCTTCATCATTCCTCACGGCCAACTGGATGTGTCGTGGCCCAATCCTGCTTTTCTTGTTTTCACGGGCAGCATTTCCTGACAGTTCCAATATCTCAGCAGTCAGATATTCCAGCACAGCCGCCAGGTAAACTGGAGCACCAGAACCTATTCTCTCAGCATAGTTCCCTCTTTTGAGAAGCCGGTGGACACGACCCACTGGGAATTGCAGACCAGCCTTCGCTGACTTTGTTTTTCTTGATAGAACTGCAGGTTTTGCAGCCACCACATTTTTCTTTCCACGTCCAGACATTCTAATATCAAACCGGAGAAGCAGAACTATGTTAGGACTTTGTAAGAGCATTCAAGTGCTTGAGCTACAGCAATATAAGAAGAGCCAAAATGGTAGCAAGGTTAAGTATACCCTCCTACTCCCACACCTAGATTTATTCACAAACTCACAAGTAAAGAGAGCCCCTCCCCCAGAAAACCCACCTTGACAATTCCTTAATGATTTCTTCAGCTTGACATACAGCTCACCACCAGTAATTCTCTTTAAGCGAGTTCTCTCATACAACAGGTTTTGTTTAAATTTGGTGAATCATTTTCTCCCATGCCTGCCTTACGTTAGCAAGGAAGCTAGTCAAGAATAGTCTACCCAGAAACCACTTTTCGAGAACAATTTTGGTTCCCCTTGCCAAGAGAAGGCACGGGTGTCACCATCCACTCTGTTTGTACGACACAGGAGCAGATTTTTTTTTTTTTAACTCAGAAAATAGCAGAGGAATATTTGGCTCTCCTATTCAGATGCAGCATCTTTAAGCTTATTTTCTGCTTCAGAGCAACCAAGCCTATTCTTAAGGGACACAGGTAGGGTCTTACCAGCCACTTTCAAGTGCCAAGAATTCCTATAACAACTTCTTAAGCAATAAGCAACAGAGGGTCCTGTGGCACCTTTAATACTTCTGTTAGTCTCAAAGGTGCCACAGGACCCTCTATTGCTTTTTACAGATTCAGACTAACACGGCTACCCTCTGATTCTTAAGCAATGTATTCTTAAAATGCTCCCAGTAGTTTTTTCACAGGCTAGTGGATGTTTCTGAGGGATTTTTCTGCTAAAGGAAGATACCACTAGGCTCCCTAAGGCTGTTTTTATTAATTATTATTAAATAAATAAGCTAAACAAAGACCTTCGAGAACCCTAAAGTAGAAGATAGGAGATTCCACAACATAAAATAGTAAGAGAAAGGAATCATGGGACAGTCAGACTTTTATTTCTCTCAAACCACAAGCATCAGTAGGTATTACTCTTCATAGTATCTACTGAGAAGGTAAAAACTAACTAGCTAGTTTTCACCACAGTTACTGCAGGATATATTAGAGTTCAGAGGTCATCAACTTAAAAGAGCCATTAAAACTCTTCTGTGTAGTACTGGTGAAAAGCAGAGTACAGTATGAAAAACTGATCTTAAGTCTAAGATTCACAGTTGAGTGAGGAGATCTCAAGGGAAATTACAAAAAACAAAAACCACCATGCACCACACATGTCTATTAGGGTAGAAAGAAACAGTAAGGCCAACTAAACAACAGCCCTACATAATTGCATATAGAGTCAAGAAAAATCCTAGATATGAACTAAAGACAGAAGTTCTACCTTACACACACCTACTAATACCCAGTATTATTGTTGTGTTTTTTTTAAAAAAAACTTTCTCTGAAATACAATATCTTTATCTTTCAGGTATATACCTTAACTAAAAATCAAGACAAACATCCCATTACCTTCAATAAACCTTACTTTAGCGTATCCCAAGCTTGTGAGCAGCGCTATCTAGTAGACTCTTCTTCTAGTAGAAGCTAACTGCCTTCTTTTTAACCTCTCAGCAGTAGCCATCTTATTAGCAGCTTTTATTCTAGATCAGCTGACCACCTGGATTACTGATGAGCCATTCACCCCCCAAAATGGTAAACTTTATTATGGATGAAAGCAAAAAATCTATTATAAACACCTGAGAGGTGCAGGAAGTTTCTTTTATCTTATCTGAATTAAGTCTGTAAATAGGGGTGAACTGTCTCCAACTGTTTTTTAGAGGAAGTCAGTAAATTGGCAGTGACACCACTTGTTTGTTAAAGGGTATAAAAAGAAAAATCTTAAAGGGTCCATTGCTAATACCTGCTTGACAATGCTGAAGGTAACTAACATGGGTCTCAGCACCCTTAGGTTTAGCCTGTTTGTAAGTACCTTAATCAAATGCTTATAAAATGTTTTGTTATTGTTTGGATGCAATACATTGCTTATTATTTAGGCATGTTTAGACCAACTGCATAAAGTACTATTTGGCCTTTGGATTTAATAAAGGAATTTATGGTTAAATTGGTGTTTGGTGATTTCTCATAGTACTAATTTCAAATATTATTAGAAATTCTAACAATCCATTTGTCTGAATTGCCATTAAAGCTGCAGGTTAGGCTGCATACCTAGGCTCTCTAGCCAGGATGCATAAAGGGGCTTGGATGTTGCAATACTCAGCATTACAATGCCTCATTTTTAGGCACCTTGAAAATCATGGGATCTACAAAGCTTGATTTAGGTTCCTATACTCCCCATTCCTTGGTACCTGTCTCTCTCCAAGCACTGTACAGGATCTACAAAAGCCAGCACAGTAAGTGGGGAGCAGCCTATGATAGACTATGGCAGATGCTGATAATGGGGGAGTGTCCTCATCCCCACCCCTCACAGAGTTTGGCATTTAAATCAAGGTTGTAGGGAGGTGCCTCCTTTTGCATAGGGTCTATGAGAATGAGGTAGGGTACGTGCCTCAGACCACAAAAAAAGGATAGTGATAGTGTGGACAAGGCAGAAACCTCCCTTAAAATCGTTAACCCAGTGATTTTTGCTTCTTGTGCAATCCTCAGAGGCTACGGGCTTAAATTGCAGCAAGGAGGGATGGGGGTTAGGTTGGAGATTAGGGAGAAACTTCCTAATTGTCAGGCTGGTTAAACCCTGGAATAAATTGCCCAGAGAGGTTGTGGAATCTCCATCACTGGAGGTTAAGAGCAGGTTAGACAAACACCTGTCAGGGATGGTCTAGATCAGCATTTCCTAAACTGGGGTTGCCGCTTGTGTAGGGAAAGTCCCTGGCGGGCTGGGCTGGTTTGTTTACCTGCCCCAGCCACAGGTCCGGCTAATCACGGCTCCCACTGGCTGCGGTTCGCTGCTCCAGGCCAATGGGAGCTGCTGGAAGCGGTGCAGGCCGAGGGACTTGCGGGCCGCCGCTTCTAGCAGCTCCCATTGGCCTGGAGCAGCGAACCGCGGCCAGTGGGAGCCGCAATCGGCCGGACCTGCGGACGGGGCAGGTAAACAAACCGGCCCAGCCCACCAGGGTGCTTACCCTGGTGGGCTGCGTGCCAAATGTTGCCGATCCCTGAGATAATACTTAGTCCTGCCATGAGTGCAGGGGACTGGTCTACAAGGCTGGGGTGGGGGCAGCCAACATTTTTTTGCTTGGGGCAGCAAAAAACCTAGAGCCAGCCCTGGTTCTAGTCTCCCTCTCTGCCGGATGAAAAAGGGATTGGCACAGGGAATTGACTCCCACTCAGGTTTGTGCCCTAACACTGGACTATAAAGTCATTCTTATTTTGTCTTTTCTCCAATAAAGTGGAATGGTTTCAACAAAAGAGACTGAGGGAATATCCCCTGGTGCCACCCCCACAGCAGGCTGCCCCATAACCCCACTTAACTGAGAGATGATAGATATGTTCCCCTTGTTAGGCAGAGAGGGGAATTGAACCAGGGGGTTCTCACAGCCCAAATGAGAACCTCAACCACTGGGCTAAAGGTTAAAAGGGAGGCCTCTTCACCCAGCCATTTTCTGTGAGAGGCCTATAATCACCCCTACTGGATTGAGCCCTGCTGGTAAGATGTTCCTCTGCCCATCTTCTCCTGGTTTCAGGGCTGTGCTGGGCCTTAGGCACCCAGATGCCTACCTGAGGCCGCAGTGTGCAACCCCAGAGGCAATAAGTTAGGCACCAAGAGGACTTTTATGGCAAAAATGTAGGGGCCGAGTGAGTTTAAACATCTACAAGGTTCAGCAGCAGCTAACCAGGGGGTTTGTGGCTCACAATGGTGCATAAAACTAGGATTTAAGCACCTAAATCTAGGCTTTAGGCACCTAAGTTCCTTTATCAGAGGGGTAGCCGTGTTAGTTTGGATCTGTAAAAAGCAACAGAGAGTCCTGTGGCACCTTTAAGACCAACAGATGTATTGGAGCATAAGCTTTCGTGGGTGAATGCATCCGACGAAGTGGGCATTCACCCACGAAAGCTTATGCTCCAATACATCTGTTAGTCTTAAAGGTGCCACAGGACTCTTTGTTGCTAAATTCCTTTGTGGATCTGGCCAGCACTGACTCCCAGCATAGCACAAATTGGAACCAGCAACTAAGGCCTCTGTTCTGCAAACATGTTGGAATTGGTAATAATACCTGAAATTATTTATATTGATATGGGAAAACACTAATTTAACCATAAATTCCTTTATTAAATCCAAAGGCCAAATCGTACTTTATACACTTACTCTAAACATGCCTAAATAATAAGCAATTTACTACATCCCAACAGTAACAAAACATTTATAAGCATTTGCCCAAGATACTTACAAATAGGCTAAACCCAGGCGTGCTTAGACTCATATTGGTCAGCTCCAAGGTGGTCAGACGGTTATTAGCAATAAACCCTTTAGTTTACTTTTTATACCCTTTAACAAAGAAGTGATGTCATTGCCAGTTACTGACTTCAGCTAAAAAACAATTGAAGACAGTTAACCCTTATTTCCTGTTTTAATCCAGCTAAGATTTACCTCTTTTTTTTTTTTTTACCAAGGCCTTTCTTCCGCTTCATCTTGCTATCCAACAGTTTTCCCATTGCACCAGGGTTCACACAGGTTGTAACACTGGTGTGTGGGTTAGGGAAGGGCTGTGTTAGCTCATTTTAAGACAGATTCTCAGTTTGATTTAAAACCATCTGCAGTCACACCTAGCGGTCAGAGGCCTTCTTTTCAGAAACTTCCCCATATCTCTTTAGTTATTCTTTGCACCAGACATCCTTCTACTTTATTCTTCTGGCCTCAATACTGATTATTTCCAAGACCTTCCTTCTACTTGCAAGTCAGAGCCTTTCTTTACAACACATATGTATTTCCTTAACCAAATTTAAGCTCATTTTAATTCTGATCCTACAACATGTATGAACTTTACGCATATGAGCCCCAATCCTGCAAACGCTTGTGTATGTGGTTAACTTTACTATTGTGAACAGCCCCATTGAAATCAAAGGAACTACTCATAATAGTAAAGTTACACACATGCATACATTTTTGCAGGACTGATGCATAAATTAGTAGATTAGAAAAGGGCATAGTGATTATTTAAACAAATAAACATAGAAATGCTGAAAATGAAGACTGGATTTATTGCAAGGATTTCAATAAAAAAAATCAATCAATAAAAATTGTTGATATTTTCCAAATCAGTAATTTCAATCTCTGAAGTGTTCCTCTCTCTCCTCCTCATAATCTTATGTCTTTTGGAGCTGATTAATGCCAGAGGTGTCATTTCCTCTGGATTAATTGTTCTGAAAAAAGTGTTAATGAGTGGTCCTTGCTTAAAAACAAGAGGCATAGCCCAAGTCTAGAAGGACAGGAGTCTTAAATATACATTAGAATTTTCTGAGAGGGGAAAAAGTATGAAAAGGTAAATTATTGGCTTATAATATTTTAAATGTACTGTAATCCACTGATGTCTTAGTATGTGATGCTTTTAATGTGAAGGACTTTTTCCTTCTAAGAGTGGACTTTTATTCTCTACTACTACAGATATGTGACTGAAATGTCACAAAGAAACACTAAAGCTTTTTTACTTGGGTGTAAGTACAGACCTGCACTTCACTAAGTGTAAGTGAGATGCTATGGGGAAGTAGTAAATCAAATGAAAAGAGAACTGGAAGGGGTCTTTCCTCTACCATTTTGAAATACTAAGTATAATTTCCTGCACTTGGAAAAATCTTAAAGGGAATTTATATTAGATGTTCTCACACACTGTTTTCCCTCCTGAGGATCTGTTGGAGGTAGTGATGGTGAGCAGGGAAGAGTGTGGTAGTGTTCCTGAATGTAGGGGCAACTAAGAGACTCAGATGCTAGTCCCACACGGGAAAAAACAGTTCAGTTCTCAGACTAACTCTGTTATAAGCTTATGACTGGTCTAAGCTATTATTGCTAACAAGAAAGGCAGGAGATGCTTTGGGAAGTGATACTTCTCTGTAGCACTGGACATGTGTAAATTTATGAATGTATATTTCCATAAAAATAAAGCTGGTGACAATGTCAGAATGGTTAAATGTGGTATGTTGCTAAAATATCCCCTACACTGAACAGTCAATATAATTAAATAATTACTGACCTACTTTTAGTACTTGTATATAGAGCTGGCTGGAAAACCATTCTGTTTTGTGAAAAATATTGAGGTTTTGGAATTGTTTTTGTTCTCCATCAGAACAAAAATGAGACCTTTCAAAAGTTTTTGCCAAAAAATTAGACCTCCCCTCTACCCACCAGAATAGCCAATCACTCAATGATTAGGGCTCTCACTTGGGGATGTGGCACTTCAGGTTTAAGTCCCCATTCTGCATGATTCAGAGCAGACACTTGAACCTAAGTCTCCTACACCTCAGATAAGTACCTTACAACAGCCCAGTGTTTAGGGTTTCTCACTTTCTCTTCCTGGTTTTGGCCAGAAACACTCCATCCTGGATCTGAGAAACCTTCCCAAAAAGGCTGGTTGAAACTGATAGGTTTCCACTAAAAGTTTTGGTTCTGACAGTTTGAGATTTATTTATTTATTTATTACAAATCAGTTCTACTTCTATATCACCTAGTCCTACAGAACTTCAGCCTGGGACTGGATAATGGAGACATTACCAATTTACCACTCTCCTGGTCTCCAGGCAGAGAGCAGAGCTTTCCCACCAAGATAGTGAGCAACTGGCCTGCACCTGAACAGAACTAGAATTCAGAAATTCAGAATTTCTGTTTCATGTGAAATCCTGACATCCTGAAATTTGGTTTTGTTCCAAATTGGAATGAAAACAAAATTTCTGAATTTCCTGCAAAACAAAATTTTTGGAAAAAATATTTTGGGTCAATTGAAATGTTCAATTTCAATTTTTAAAAGAAAAGTTGTTTTGAAATGACAACATAGAAATGCTTTAAAAAAAAACATTTTGTCAAACATTCCCATGAAAAAATTAGATAGAAAAACATTTCATTGGAAAAGTATTTAACCAGCTCTACTCCTGAACTCCCTAGGTTTCCAACTCACCTTAAGAGAACAAGCTACACAAATACAAGGCCAAGGTGCCACTGAGTTAGTACCACAGTATAATCTGCTGTTGCCCACTACCATTGTCACCTTGACCCCAAACCATCCACTCACCACACACTGACCAAGAAAATCATTGTGACTCATACAGATGAGCTATGACAGATGGAGTGCACAAGCAGAACATTAGAACACCAATGGTTCAAAAATCATTCTCTCTGACAGACTGGTATTTATCTAGTGCTATGTATAACTACAGCAGTCTATCAGTGAAGAAAAATTGTAAGGATACTGACTGGAATTTTTACTAGCTTTTCTACTACTGTACTTTTATCAAAAATGTAAATCTTATGGGCATGATGCTTTGAATGATGAGATTTCACCAACCCCCCACCCAGCTGAATAAAAATGTCATCAACTGGCAAAAAGGCCATCAGAAAAACTGTGCTTATAAGGAAAACAAAGTCATCAAGAGCTGGTCTGCAATTCCCAGTGGGTCGTGTCTACCGGCTTCTCAAAAGAGGGAACTATGCTGAGAGAATAGGTGCTGGTGTTCCGGTCTACCTGGCAGCTGTGCTGGAATATCTGACTGCTGAAAAACGGGAACTGTCAGGAAATGCTGTCCGTGAAAACGGGAGTCAAGATTTTACCACAACACATCCAGCTGGCTGCAAGGAACGATAGAGCGCTGAAGAGGCTATTTGCAGATGTGACCATTGCAGGGGGAGGAGTTTTGCCCAGCATTCTTGCCCAGAGAACTCCTAAACAGAAAAGAAAGCTGTTCCTTCCCAGGAAGAATCCAGTAATGACTGACCCAGAGAAAATGTACGTTTCCTCCTCGTCTCCCGTTCTTCATCAACATGTAACTCTTGTTAATCAATGTTTTGTGCGCAAATTGCTGCTAAATATTCAGACTGATTATCTTAATGTGTGGGGTTTTTAACTGTTCAAATAAACTTAATTCCAATCTACTATCTGATTCTGTTCTCGTCTGTTAATTCAATAACATTTTCCCAGGGAAGTGTTTAAGCTTGCAGCTTTTAAACAATATGAACTTCGCTCTTTAATGCTACTGAAGCAATTATACTAGGAGTAGGGCTAGCCTGACTGACCTATTTTGTATTGCAGGCAGGGCTTAAATTCAGCTGGAGCTGTCTGGAGCCGAACTCCGGTAAATATTTTCAAACCCACGGGGCTGAAGCCCCAAGCCCCAGTACCCCCAACAGAGCTGAAGCCCTGAGTCCCAGTGCTCCGGGAAATACTCTGAGAATTTAAGCCCTGATTGCAGTGTATACTCAGCTCTCCTTAGCAGGAGAGTTTTGAAGAATAACAGAAGCCTATTATTGCGGTGCAAACTATTGGGTTGAGTAGGCTGGTAACTGTGTAAGAACTTCTGCTCCCATTGTGTACCTAATCTAGGAAACTGGTCATCAGGTAGTTATTACTAATTTGAGGAGGGTGTCTGAGAGGTTGGAGGCTTATCTGTATCTACCACATTTCTCAGGCCACATTACATATAGAGAGCCTATCAGAGAGGCTGTGGGCAGTGCCACTGGCATATAATGTTGCCCACTGTTAAAAGCAGCAAGGTATTACCTGTTCTAATGAAGGATGGTCCTGGCACTTCCAAACTAGGAGCTGAAAACCCAGATGTTCTATTCTACCAGTCAAATGCCTTACAGAAGTCTAGGTATTTTACAATAACCATATTGTCTTTTTTAATCAAACTTCTAATCTCTTCAAAAAAAATACCAAGTTAGTTTGACAAAGCCTGTTTTCCAAAAATCATGTTGATTAGCATTATTATATTACCCTCCTTTAGCTCTTTATTAAATGACTCGGTTATTCCATTATTTTGCCCAAGACTGAAGTCAGTCTGATACAGGCCTATAGATCCCTTGGTCATTTTTAAATACTAGCACATTAGCTTTCCTCTAGTCACTTGGAACTTCCCTGATTATTCTAAGGTTTACTGAAAATCAACATTAACAGTCCACAGAGCTCCTTGACCAGCTTTTTTAAAACTTCTGGATGCAAGTTACCTGGCCTGCTGCTTTAAAAATGTCTAACTTTAGTAGTTAGTTTTTCACATCATCCTTTGTTACTAGGGTTGCCAACCCTCCAGGATTGGCCGGGAGTCTCCGGGAATTACAGATTAATCTTTAATTTAAGATTGTCATGTGATGAAATCTCCAGGAACACATCCAACCAAAATTGTCAACCCTACTTTTTACTCTTGGGGTGGAAAGTATTTAATCATAATATGATGCGAATACATCTTGTTCTTTAGCTCCTCCCTCCCCCCAACACAGGACAGAAATATTTATTTAATACTTCTGCCTTTCTTGCATTATTATTGACAATTCTCTCAGTAACAGACTAGTACCATTGTTAAGATTGTTTTTGTTTTTGACATACTTTAAAAACTCCTTTTTTATGGTCTTTCATGCTGCTGGTCACAGATTTCTCCTTGTGTCTTTTTGTTTCCCTTATCAATTTTCTACACTTCCTACCTTCTACTTTACATTCATTCTTCATTTATTTTTATATAAATCTTTTATAGTTGCTTTCACTTCCCCTCTAAGACAGGCTGGTCTACTGTTATTTTTAAAAAATTCCCAACTAGACAGTTAAACAGAAAAATGTGAAAACTTTCCCCCAGCTGATTCAGCTCCTAATTGTTTTTGATTTTGCAAAACGAGCCCTTTTTAAAAGCAAGTGAAGTTACTGGTTTGGACTTGATTCTGTTTGCACATAACAAATGTACTCAAACTATGATCACTTGCACCTAAACAAATCCTTAGTTCTGTGATCAATTCCTCTTTATCTGTGAAGGGGAGGGCTAGCAGAGAATTCCCCCAGGTTGTCTCCAACACTTCTTGAATTGAGATTTTGATAAATTCAAAGGACATTTTAATACTGACAGCCTAGGATCTCCACTCCATCGCACTCCGATTGAAACCAGTTAAATACCTGGAGAGGGTTACTCTCTCAGAGTGCGGATATGTTTGGCATTCTCTAGCCTAGCAGAATCCACTTCATCCAGGCCTGTGAGAAGGGCCCTGAGCTCTGATGTGTGAGGAGACCGCTTAACAGGTAAGACTAGAGTTACAAGGGAAATTAGAAAGAGGAGTAGTTGTGGCACCTTAGGGCTGGTCCACACTAACCCCCTACTTCGAACTAAGATACGCAACTTCAGCTACGTGAAGTATCTTAGTCTGAACTTACCATGGGTCCACACGAGGCAGGCAGGCTCCCCCATTGACTCCGTGTACTCCTCTCGTGGAGCAGGAGTACTGGCATTGACAGCGAGCACTTCCGGGATCAATTTATCGCATCTAGACAAAACGCGATAAATCAATCCCAGAAGATCGATTGCTTACCGCCGGACCCGGACGTAAGTATAGACGTACCCTTAGAGACTAATACATTTATTTGAACATTAGCTTTTGTGGGCTACAGCCCACTTCTTTGGGTTTTAGCCCATGAAAGCTTACGCTCAAATTTTGTTAGTCTCTAAGGTGCCACAAGTACTCCTCCTTGTTTTTGCTGATACAGACTAACATAGCTACCACTCTGAAAAGGGACATTATGAAATCCTTGATTAGGGCTGGACAGGGCCACCCAGAGGATTCAGGGGGCCTGGGGAAAAGCAATTTCAGGGTCCCCTTCCATAAAAAAAAGTTGCCATACTATAGAATGCTATATTCTCGTGGTGATCCCTGTGGGGCCTGGGGCAAATTGCCCCACTTGCCCCCCCCCGGGCGGCCCTGGGGCTGGAGCCCCGCTCGCTATGGCCAGCATCCCCTCTCCGCCAGCCCCAGACGACACAGCCCCACAGGGTCCGAATGCGAAGTGGGGGATGATCCTGGCTGTCCCTACAGCCCCTGGCTGTCCTTACAAGGCTACCCCGGAAGCCGCCGCTCCCGCCGCGTTACACAGTTCCTGCTCCGGGGCCTGGCAGACAGGAGCGGCACGCGGGGGCTGAGCGTAGCCGGGGGAACTTGCCCTGTGGCCGGCCCCAGAGAGGCGCTGCTGCTGCTGCAGTTTCGGGGACACGATGCAGGTGAGGCGCCGCGAGCGCCGTGGGGAGGTTCCCGGGAGGCAGGCGGCGTTCCTGCCTCGCCGGCCGGGGGAAGGACTCGCAAAGCCACCGCGCTACGGGCTGGATCCGGCTGCCCCTGGCGGGGATCGGCGTCGCCTGGCCCCAGCTGCAGCATGGCCCGTAAGGGGCCTGCTCCGCTCGGCGCAGCTGGGGGCTCGCTCGGGGCCTCCCCTGGGCAGGGCGCCGCTGTGCGCTGGCCGGGGCTGCAAGGAGGAGCCGCCCCCCCCGTGCTCCGCTAGCCGCGGTGCGGGGGAGTAGTGCTGGCCGGTCATAGCCACATAAGGAGCGCGGTGCGGACTCGCTTTGCCCTTCCTGGGCCTCGGGTTACAACGTTGCATGGGGGATGCTCCTTGTAAGGGGGAAAAGCCTCCGCCGCGATCCCCTTCCGCCTGCTCTGGGCACGCGTCTTGCATTGCTAATAGCCCTCGGGGGGCCTGCAGCATTGGGGCTGGGCTCCCACACGAGCTACCAAAGCGCCAGGACAGGAGACTTCAAGAGAGAGGGTGGGTGCGGTGACATCTGCTATTGGACCAACTTCTGATGGGGAGAGACAGGCTTTGGAGCAGCCCCGAAAAACAGCACTGAGTGGCTCCCAAGGCTTGTCTCTTTCGCCAACAGAAGTTGGTGCAATAAGAGATGACCTCACCCCCCTTGTCTCTAATATCCTGGGACCCACACAGCTACAGTAATACTACAGGAAACTTCAACTCTATCAAAACACACTTCCCACGCTCTGGGCTGAAGAGGGAAGGGTGGAGGGACAATTCTACCAGGCCCTGAGCTCAGCCTGACCACAGTCATATTTATTACAAATGAAAAATTCCAATACTGCCTCAAAATAAAGCCTAATTGTATTGACTTACCAGTGGTCTTACTCCCAACAGTCTTATGATACTTGTTCTTAGTGTTTTAAAATAAGGGGGGCAGACACAATGCTATCTGTGCTCATGCACCATAAGGCCCTAGAAGATATTAATGTGTAAACGGTGACTTGACATGCACTGACAACATGCTTTGTTTTTATTTTGATGTCCTGTAAAGCATTGTCTGCCACAAGGTCTTGTAGTCAGAAAGGTGAATGTTTATGCAAAGTGTGGTCTTAGTCTGAACTATGAGTGGCTGGGTAGCATTGTGGAGTTGATTGTTTATTGTCTCAAAGCTCAGATGAAATTTGTTTGGCTTACAAGGAAAAAAGAAGTTGGTTTGTTTTCCTAGGTGACAGACTTACAAATACACCCTTGGCTCTGGAAGCCTACTTGGATTGTTTCTGGCTTGTGCATCACCACCAATAATACAATTTTGCTGGCCAATTTCTGCCTTCAGTGGCACTTGTGCACCTACAAAATTTGACGGTGCAATAGGAAATGACAGTGCTATTGATCTGTGAGACAGAATGATAGAGCCCATCTCGATCTTCTATAAACTCTGCTTGGAGAGTTTATAGAAGTACATCTTGCATTAGTCACCCAAGTAATCTATACAGATACTGAAGTGATGCGAAACATGCAAGTATCTGAGTGACTCCCTGTATTAACAAAGTAAGGAATCATTAGCCCCATTTTATAGACTTGAACTAAGAAAGAAGGAGTCTATGGCAGAGCCACTAATTGAACCTATATGTCCTCAGTCTAGTTCATTTCCTTAATTACACACTGCTTGTTCAAGTACATGTGGGGAGCAGACGTCTATAAATCTCAAAATAAAGAAAACCTAAATCAACTCCTGTGACTCCCACAATTTTATTATAACTCCAAGCTGTATAGTATGTGTTATGTGTCTGACCTCTGTTCAGCATTCCTTTGTCTTATCCTGAGAGGGATACAAAATCACTTTGTTTCTGGTTGGTGGTGGCTGTATGTATATATGTAAGTATGTATGTATTAAAAACAATATTATTTTTACAACTTACTTTGATATCTTTCTATCAAGATAGTAAAACAAACTGTTGGAAAAGTTAGGCATTGCATCTAAATGTTGCCAATAAACAATAAAACATTGCAAGAACAGACTTTTTTTAAAAAAGTTCCTACCTGGAAGAAAATGACAAAAGTACCTACTGCTTATGTTTTGCTAGAATCCCAAACCTAGTATATTCTGGACCTTACATTAGTCCTTGTCTACAAAGGACTTTATATAAAGGTGTGTTTGTTTAAACCAGTACAAAACCCTGTTTTGGTTCAAGATGCT